TGAGATCTCTATGTAAAACGCAGGGGGCAATCTGCTTTCCAGGGAGACAATAAAACAAGGAAGTTTTAAAAATAACTAATTATGATAAAAAATGGATCAGAATTGGACTCTAAAATCTCCATATCCACCATGTTCCATAGCCTAGTCTACCTCTTCCCCTCCATCTCTGGATATGATTCTGGAACCAGCTTATGACATCTTCATGTTTGTCTTCATTCCCAAGCCCTGATTTGTCAGAACTACTTCAATGTTAATCAACATACATAAAGTTGGTACCTTACAAATACTCCCATTAAAGTCAAAGGAAATCAAAAGGTAAGTCAAAGGAAATCAAATGGTAATGCTCCAGGAAAATTTGTAGATATGACAAAGCTAGGGCAGGAACCAGTGGTGTGTGCATCTAGTTAGTCAGTCAGTTCAGTCGCTCAGTCGTGTCTGACTCTTTGCGACCCCATGAACCGCAGCACCCCAGGCCTCCCTGTCCATCACCAACTCCCAGAGTCCACCCAAACCCATGTTCATTGAGTCGGTGATGCTGCCATCCAACCATCTCATCCTCTGTTGTCCGCTTCTCCTCCTGCCCTCAATCTTTCCCAGCATCAGGGTCTTTTCCAATGAGTCAGCTCTTCGCATCAGGTGGCCAAAATATTGGAATTTCAGTTTCAACATCAGTCCCTCCAATGAACACCCAGGACTGATCTCCTTTAGGATGGACTGGTTGGATCTCCTTGCAGTCCAAGGGACTCTCAAGAGTCTTCTTGAACACCACAGTTCAAAAGCATCAATTCTTCGGTGCTCAGCTTTCTTTATAGTTCAACTCTCACATCCATACACGACCACTGGAAAAACCATAGCCTTGACTAGACAGACCTTTGCTGGCAAAGTAATGTCTCTGCCTTTTAATATGCTGTTTAGGTTGGTCATAACTTTCCTTCCAAGGAGTAAGCATCTTTTAATTTCATGGCTGCAATCACCATCTGCAGTGATTTTGGAGCCCAGAAAAATAAAGCCAGTCACTGTTTCCACTGTTTTCCCATCTATTTGCCATGAAGTGATGTGCATCTAGATGTAATGCTTTTGTTGTTGGCAGTATTGTGCTGCTGGTGCCAACCTGCTATCTACTCCTGCTTATTGTCACCACATCTGGAATCTGAGATCTCATGACCGACAGGTTTAGAAAAGATCAGCTGTCTTGAACCTACCTGCTAAGGATCTTTCATCTTCTATACTACTATAGTGATTTTCCTAAATGGAAATCTTACCATGTGCCTCAAAACAACTCACTGCCAGAGAATAAAGTCCAAACTCCTAGCCAGGCATATAAATCCCTTCCTCCACACTGCTCCTCCTACTCAAAGCATCAGACATAAATCTGAGGTATTTGGTGCTCCAAGAGAACTCCTTTCTCCTCTGCCACCACGCCCTACCTTCTGCTGCACTTCTGAAGAGAATCCTCTCATCCACCTTTGGAACTTGCTTCATACCTCTCAGGCTTCAGTGCTATATCACTTTCTCCACAAGGCCTTTCCTGATAGGCTTTCTTTCCTCTGAGCTTCCCTCTCAGTAAAATGAGTATCCTAATTGCTGTACCTTCCTTTAACTCCAGGGTCACATGGAAGAAATGACAACAAACAGTCTCTGAAAAATGCAGAACACTACATAAACTCCAGGTTGTATTATTATAAAAGTTATAATACAATAAGCCTTTTTTCTTCAGGAACCTAATTATAGTACTTGTGATGATTATTATGAAATTAGCCTTCACAAAGTAAAATGTTTCCTGTTTATTTCTTAAACGTGAGCTAAACTAAAAATGGGAATGAGAACTGTGCTTACTCAGCCACAAATAGATTAAAATTGGACCCATACAGAGGGGATTAGCATGACCTTTAAGGATTCCCTGATAGCTCAGCTGGTAAGGAAACCACCTGCAATGCAGGAGACCCTGGTTCAATTCCTGGGTTGGGAAGATCCACTGGAGAAGGGATAGGCTACCCACTCCAGTATTCTTGGGCTTCCCTGTGGCTCAGCTGGTAAAGAATCGGCCTGCCATGAGAAAGACCTGGGTTTGATCCCTGGGTTGGGAAGATTCCCTGGAGAATCGAACAACTCCAGTATTCTGGCCTGAAGAATTTCAAAGGGTCACAAAGAATCAGCCACGACTGAGTGATTTTCACTTTTGCCCCACGTGATTTTCAGTATTTTTGGGTTAGGGTTATTGTATTTTGTATTTTGCAACCTTTCTGTAAACCTAAAATTATAGTTAAAATTTAAAAAGACTTCAGTTTAATTATTTTTAGATTAATTTACTAGGTCCATTGAGTCAGTTTATTGTATAATTTAGACAAATTTAGAGTGATTTCTGTATTTTTCTAAAATGACTGTAGAATTCATCAGTGAAAAGAAAAGAGCTGTGTCTAAACCCCAAACTCAGACTCTAAACTCATGGGTATGAAACACTATCAGATAAAAACTTAGAAAAAAAAAAAAGGACAAATATTGGTTGAGAATGAGTTATAGTCTCATCTTACCAATAAAATGATCAGGACTCTGTACTGCCCTTGAGAAAAGCAAAGCAATGTTACAGTTAGCCAATGATAAGATTTCCCTAAATACAGCTTCCGCCTGACCTCTTGTACATCCTTAAATCCCAATGTCATAACCTGGCACATGCTTTATAAACAGCAAAGAGAGTGAAAAGATAACAGGTTATGTAGGTAACTTAGCCATAATTATACTACCATAGGTAAGTCTCCACAGTACTACCTCAGACAGGGAAGTTTTGCTTTACAAGTATTATTTTCCATAAGGAACCTGGTAGAGAGTAGAGCGTGTTGTGCCCAGAACTTCTGTGTCTTTCCTCAGATTCCAAGAACAAATCAGAATATGACCAATGTTATAGTCAATGTTAAACAGTTATCTGAACATTCTTCTCAGATTTTGAGCAGTTGTGCCTTCAGTGAGATGCTGTTTAAACACTCTTGTTTTTTGAGCATTCAAAAAATTCACAACTATCTGGTTGCCTAATTAGATTGTACTTGCTCTGCCAGCCACTCCCAGCTCCTTCTTAGGAGAGTAGGAGCTCCTCTGAATTCAGCTGACTGGCAGAAGCAGTGCTGGACTATATATTACCGAGGGCAACAGCAGTAGCTCACTTCCCCTTGGTTTCGCACAGAGTATGTAAATGAGTTCTGATAAATGACCAGTTACTATTCTTCTGTGATCTCTATCTTTTAAAAGTTAGTGGCACGTGGCCAAGCAAGAGAGAACTTAATACTCAAGGCACATTCTCTTAGTACCAATGGCTTCCTGAAGAGAAACAACCATGCCTTCCATTAGTGGGCATGAACCAGAAGCAGAAGAGAAAGCAAAAAATAAAAAACAAGAGTCAGAAGAGAGGAAATAGAAAGTTAAACTTCTCAGAGACTGAGAAAGCTCCATGTCAATTCCAATTTCTGAAACCTTCAAAAAAGGCCGGGGGTGGGGGGGGGGGGTGGATACTGAAATGCCCAAACTGGCTTACTACATTACAGTATATTTTTTATTTACATGAACAAATAAAGCTGCAAAGTGAGCATCGTTCTGACTTGTCAGTGTATATCTGATTTGGAAATAACATGAGAGTCTAATTTGAATCTTTGTGAATATGAAGCCCAAGCCAAATAGCACTACTAGCCACAACCCAACACCAGGGCAAACCCCAAAACCTCAACAGAGTGGGAGTAAAAGTTTAGAAAAACAAACTAAAGAGAATAAAATGAGAAGAGTAGCAAGGAAGCCAGTATGGAGATCACTACCATGGGAATCCCATAACTGGGTGCCAGTAGAAAATTTTTTATTTTATTTTTTAAATATTTTCCCCCTTTATTTTTATTAATTGGATAGAAAATTTTTTAAAAGGGGGTGGGGAGCAGGAGGACCTGAGGTATTACTTACAGTAGTCTCAGGAGTACTGGGTACTAATGCATGGTCACCTTCCACTGATTCTTCTCTAAGGAGCATCTCTGAAGCCTTCTTGTTTGGTAAGAGGAATCTGCAATCATTCACTAGGTATCCACTGAATATAAGGCACTGTGCAGGGATTGAAGAATGGAAGTCAGGATCAAAAGAATAAGATTGTCTCTGTGGACCGGGAAATTGAAATATGTTCTCTGCATTCTCTGGGAAATAAACAAGGAGGTAAACAGGTCTCAAATGAGAAAGGGTTAGCTTCTTAGAAAGAAGGTCAGTAACACTTGAATAACTTCAATGGCGAGGAATCTGCTGACTCATAGACAAGTGCTTGGAACATCAGTATACATAGGTCAATACTCGGAAGCTGGTATATTGAGATTCCGTTGTGCTAGATTCCTTTCTTCCGTATTTGGGGTACATGATGTTAGTCCCCTTACCCTACACGCCAAAAGGCCAGCATTCCATCTCCAAGAACTTCCAAGATACTAGGGAAGCCAAAAAGATAATTCCTTCGCGGCTCCGATAACTGGGTGCCAGAAGGAAGGTGTCACCTAGGCGACTCTCGAATGGGGAGCAGCAAGTAGCCTTCTGTAGAGACTCCAAGAGCGCCCCACGTAGAAAACCTGACTGACAGGATAGGTGAGGTGGGTAGATGGGATAGAAGAAGCCTGTCGGACCGAGCCTTTTTCTATTAGGGATAACCTTTTTTGTACATCGTTCAACCATGACTCCAATGGTTAAGTCTGAAAATAAACAATTTCCATAAGAATGTTTGATCACGCTTCTGAGAGAGACCCTGTACAGCGTGGTCGCTCAAAGTCCGTTGTTCTGCAGTAACTTTCCATCATTTTAATAAAAGGTCTCTAACACCGCCTTAAATCGCGCCTTCAAAGTCAATGTTATAAACCTAGCTAAAACATCGGCAAGCGTGACGGGAAGCCAGTGTAATAAAGCTGTTGAGCCAAAGCCTTAGGTTTTCGCTGGGTCGCTTTCGCTGCGCGTGGCAGCGGCCCCAGCTACGCTGGCGCGGGACTGAGCGCGCGCATGCGCGGCAGGAATCCGAGCGCGGAGGCTGGACTCGAGGGAAGGGGGCGCGGCGCACGCAGCATGGCGTCCAACATCTACTTGGTTCGCCAGCGGATCAGCCGGGTGGGTCAGGTACGGCTCGGGGAGGCACCGCCCCTTCCCTGTCCGGGTCCGCCCTCGCCTCCCGCGCTCGCCCCTCTCCGTCTCCGCCCCAGCGCCTCGGCAAGCGGCTCAACCGCCGCCGCCCCGCCCCGCGGCCTCCCAGGCCCGCCTCCCGGAGCCGCCCCTCCTGCCCTTCCTCGCGGCCGTGGAGCTCTGTCTGTCCGGTCGGTCCCCCTCCTCCTCCGCCCCGCCGTCCTAACACTCTTTCCCTCCTTCCCTCAGAGGATGTCCTCCTTCCAGCTCAATCTCAACCCGCTCAAGGAGCCTCTCGGCTTCATCAAAGTCCTCGAGTGGGTGAGTGCAGCCTGCGCCGGCGAGGCTGGGAATCGCGTTGCCGCGCCCGCTCCGGTTCCTGCTCCCCTTCCGGCGCCCTCTGCCAGGAGACTGGGAGCTCTGGGAACTGGGGCGCAGCCCGCCCCGCACGGGCCGCGAAGCCGCCTTTGCCCCCGGGGACGGGCCCGGACGGGACTGGACGCGCGGGGAGGGGAAGTGAGGCCGAGGCCTAGGCCTGCGCGGGGCGGGGACGATGCGGTCGGCGTTGAATCACGAGTCCCTCGGCTGCCTCCGTCCCAGGCGGAGCCCCCCCACCCCCACCCCTACACACACCGAAGCTCTCCTCTGGGTGTCCCCGGGAGAGTGGGGGTTCAAATTTCTCTTTGGCTTCACAGCTTTCCGCAAGGGAAGAGAAAACTTCCTGTTGCGGTCTAACCGAAACCCAGCGGGCTGGAGTCGCGCTCAGGCCGGCAGGCACTGCCTCTGCGCCTCTAGTAGAAGGGGCCAGCCAGTGCATGTCTGGCCCCTGCGGACTCGAGGCCGCGCTCCTTCAGAAGTTGGTGTGCCTTCTCCAAGTGATTTGACGAGCTCTTGGGTCTTAATATGCTTTTAAGATTGACTCCAAGTTAAAAAGGATAAAAATAAACTGGGACAGGGAAACTGGCGGGGGGGGGGGGGGNGGGGGGGGGGGGGGGGCAAAATGCGATTTTAGTCTGATCCACTGAAACTAAACACACGTTAGGAATCGCAAGTTGGGAGCACAAGTTAGGAATCCAGTTTGTTTTAGGTATTTCGCAGCAGCGTCCTGCAGTCAGCTTTCAGTCCTTCCCTGGGGACGCTCTTAATCATTACCATAAAAGCAGATTTATTACTTCGACCTTGGTAATGATCTCTTTGGAGGGCTTAGTGAATAAATACACCAGGCACTGCCTTCAGAGTTAGTGGCCTAGTACACACTCCAGTGCTGGCTTTCGGGCCCGTATTAATAGGCAGCTGGCATCTGTTCAGCGTGCAGGCAAGTTGCTTTTGTAGCCAGCAGTATTTACATCCGTAACTCTTCAACCCCCTATGTTTAGTGATAAAGTGGTGACGAGTAAGAACTTAGATTTACTGTTTTAAATAACCTGCGGAGGTAACACAGAAACTCAGATTCTCTAATCAGTGCTCAATCTGATTTCCTTCCTACACCCAAAGTTTCCTGTTTCCCCCAAAGTTTTACTTGGTGTTTTCTGAAAACTGTGCTAATTTCACACAAACGTTTACGTTACAGACACCTAAATGTATGTATTTAGGGTTCTATAAACATCTATCCAGATTTAAATATAAAGAGAATTCTATTTGAGTGTATAAAAATTTTACATTACAAGAGGAAAAACACATTGAACTGGGCTAATCAAATACCAAGTTTAAGGAAAAAAATCTTACACCTAGTAGTTTAGTCTTCTTGAGGATTGTAATTAAAATTATAATTAATTTAAAATTTCAGTTAAATGAAGTTAGTTTATATTTGTGCTTACATTTTTCATCAGTCTTTTTAAAACAACTTTTTTTCTTAATATTTTAAAATATTAGTGGTAAGTTTATTAGTGATCATTGGTCTGACATTTTTGAAAGATACCCTTTTTAAGCTTAGGAAAATACTACTTTCAGTTTGAACAACTCATTATTACACAGAGACTCTTTCATGAAAAGAATATTCATTGTTGATGAGGTAGAGAATTATTTATTCAACAAATATTTGAGTATATATTATATATCGGTGCTGTGCTAAGCACTAACAGACAAACAGTGAATAAAACGTGGTTTTTTTCCCTCATGACCTAATGAAAGACATGAAAACAAATATAAATATGCTGTATGACCAATACTATAATAAAGGTATAGGTTAAGTGTAGCAGGTGAAAGGAAGGAGAAATCAAATTGCTTGGAGGTGTAAAGAGGATTTCATAGATTAAAGAACTTGTTCACTTGGGGAATGGGTGGGGAATGGCTTTCTAGGTAAAGAGGAGCTTATGTTCAGTGTTGTGAAAAGTTGAAGCAGCAGAGCCCTATTTGAGAATTTAAGTAGTTGAGGTTAACTGCAGTCTTTACTGGAAGGGAGATGGCAGTTTGAGATGATTCTGAAAGGTTTCAAAGGGCTTGCAGAATAGTTTGGAGTTTATTGTATGAGCCAGTGGTTCTTAACCCTTTGGGTTAACCTTGGATAATCTAGGCCCTTAAGAAAATGCATACATGCAGGTACAGAATTGTGTGTTTATTCCACAGCTTCCACTTAAGACCAGAATTCCTACTGTGTGTAGTGGATTCACTCATTCAAGAGTAAATAAGCAAGTGGATAATATAATTAGATTTGCCTTTTAGAAATTTTTATTTTGTCAGCAGTGTAGGGGATGAACTGAAAAGGAAAGGCCATAATTGAAGAAAGGGAAATCTATTGTTTGAAGTATAATGAAGGCCTAAAACTAATCGCAGTGGAATTAGAAAGCAAGAGGTTTAGAAATTAGAATATATTTGTGTGTTTGCATGTGTTTAGTCGCTAAGTCTTGTCCATCTCTGACCCCGTAAACTGTAGCCTACCAGACTCCTCTGTCCTTGGGATTTTTCAGGCAAGAATATTGGAGTGGGTTGCCATTTTCTTTTCCAGGTGATCTTTCCCACCCAGGGACTGAACCCACATCTCCTAGATTGTAGGCGAATTCTTTTTTTTGTTAACTCTTCCTCAATTTTATTTATTTATTTTTAATTAATTTATTTAATTAGAGGCCAGTTACTTTACAATATTGTGGTGGTTTTTGCCATACTTTGACATGAATCAGCCACGGGTGCACGTGTCCCCCAATCCTGAACCTGCCTCCTACCTCCCTCCCCACCCATCCCTCTGGGTTGTCGCAGAGCACAGGCTTTGAGTGCCCTGATTCATGCATCGAACTTGCACTGGTCATCTATTTTATATATGGTAATACACGTGTTTCAGTGCTGTTCTCTCAAATCATGCTACCCTTGCCTTCTCCCACATAGTCCAAAAGTGTTCTTGTTACAGCTGTGTCTCTTTTGCTGTCTTTCTTGCATATAGGGTCAGTTTTACCATCTTTCTAAATTCCATATATGTGAGTTAATATACTGTATTGGTGTTTCTCTTTCTGTCTTACTTCAGTCTGTATAATAGGCTCCAGTTTCATCCACCTCATTAGAACTGACTCAAATACATTCTTTTTTATAGCTGAGTAATATTCCATTGTGTGTATGTACCACAACTTCCTTATCCATAAGTCTGCCAGTGGACATCTTGGTTGCTTCCATGTCCTAGCTATTGTGAACAGCGGGCAGGCGAATTCTTTACTGCTGAGTTCCCAGGGCTTCCCGGGAATACATGTGTAGGATGAAGAAAAGGCAGGGCTCTGAGATGACTGCCGTGCTTCTGACTCGGGAGTAGAAGTGGCACATCTACCTAAGACAGATCGCTAAGGAAAAGCCGCAGATTTTAGGTAGAGGTCAGTAAGGCTTTGGGTATATTAAGCTTGTGGTCTCTTTAGAGCATGTAAGTGGTGGTACCCTGTAGATATATATAGGTCTAGAATTTAAAAGAAATACAGGCTGGAGATTCAGCAAATATTTGATTGCAAAGGAAAAGGGAATAGTTAGGAGAATGGAGAGAAATAACCTCACTGTGAGATATTTCAAGAAAAGAGAGATATTTCAAGAAAAGAGTACTCAGCAATATTCGGTGCAATGTGAAAGGAAGTGAAAGTGAAGTCACTCATTCATGTTCGACTCTTTGCGACCCGATGGACTGTAGCCCACCAGGCTCCTCTGTCCATGGAGTTTTCCAGGCAAGAATACTGGAGTGGGTTGCCATTTTCTTCTCCAGGAGATCTTCCCGACCTAGGGATTGAACCCGGGTCTCCCACATTGTAAGCAGACGCTTTACCATCTGAGCCACCAGGGAAGCAGATTAGGTGTAATAGGTTAAGTAAAATAATTTGTAAAATGCCATCTCTTGATTTTGGTAATCAGTAGGCTTTAGTAAGAGCAGTTTTGGTAAAATCAGAAACCAGATGGTAGTAGGCCAAATGGATGTATGTAAGAAAGAGAATACAGTGAGAGTAGACCACTATTTGACTGTGAAGATGGGAGAGAATGAAAGCGTTAGTCACTCAATCCTGTCTGACTCTTTGCGACCTCCTGTAGCCTGGCAGGCTCCTCTATCGATAGAATTCTCCAGGCACGAATACTGGAGTGGGTTACCACTCCCTACTCCAGGGGCTCTTCTGGACCCAGGGGTTGAGCCTAGGTCTCCAGGATTGCAGGCGAGATTCTTTACCATCTGAGCCAGCAGGAAAGCCTGGGTGGAAACCTGTTTTAAAGATGGGAAAGATTGAATGTGTGTGTACACTGTGGAAAAGAGACTTCTGAATAGAAGGTTTAAAACAGAAGCTGAGAGGGATAAGACAAAGTTCTAGAAGAGAAAGGCCCATAGCAGGAATTTTTTAATGTGTTTTGAATGAATTGTTGAAGTTTCATAAGGTGTTGAAAGATGTATGGGTTGCTTCTAAAAATAGTAAGTTTACAAACAAATCTAAAATCTAGATAAAGGCTGTTTATTATAAATGTTACTATCAGAATAATTCTCCAACTCAGTTTATGTTTAACAAGATTCTAGAAGATGTTAGACTAAGATGCAGTCTGATAATTTGTAACTTCCAAGGGGTTACAACTCTGAAGGCCTCAGAGACATGAAGGCAAGCGCCCAGTAAATATTTATTGACAGGATAAAAATCCGGTTGCCAAAGCAGAAGCATTTCTACTTTGCTTCTAAACTGCAGCTACCATGCATATATATATATATATCAATTTGTTTAAACAGCATACTTTCAGAAATATGTGCTGGTTTATATAGAATAATCATCCCAAGTAGACTAGTAAGATTTTTGCAAACAGGACCATGTTTTATTGTAATTTTGTAGTTTATAATGTAGCACAGAGGAACACCACAGAAAATACAGATTGTATTACAGAGTACA